TCCAATAGTGGATAAAAGGCGGAAAAAAAAAATTCAAGATAATCTTAAGCTCTAGATACCATGTTGAATATAGAGAAAATAAAGTTTGGAATTAATTTCCCTTGTATATAAATCACACATAGGGTAGTCTGTTTATAGTAGAGAGATACAACTAAAAGAGTAACTGAAAGTAACATAATAAACAGAAGATATTGTTTGATATTGTGGTTACCAATATCTAACAATATCTTAACAATATCAAATAATATATAAACAATATCTAACACATTTAAAAGTCAATAATTATTTATGGATGGATATTTCTAAAAGCTTTTCAAATTGACCTTTCCGTAAGTTATTTGGATTGACCTTTTTGTAATGACAAATTTATGTTATGGATTTCTTAATCTAGAACATAAAAAACTTATATATATATATATATATATATATATATATATTTAATTCTTTCATCCAATTTCTTTTTTAATTTATCAATCTATAAAATATTATAGAATAAGTGTCGAAATCACTAGTTTCATAAAATTGATAGGGTATATTATTGTTGTTTTAAATAAACATGAGTGTAGAAAGAAAGTATGGAGGTATAAGAAGAAAGATTCTTTCCAATGTTACCTTAAATATTTATAATAGTATCACATTCATACATACTCACTATATCAACATAGACATTTGACTTAAGAAAGATAGTTCTTTTCCACATCATATGTTAAGTTATTGAAACATTTTTTAACTCTCACCACATAATCTCTTAATTTATGTGATTCTAGTAATTAATAAAATTAGGATATTTCTTATTGAATCTCTAATTCAATGTTCACAACCATATATTGAATCATTATTCTACAATATTATTCTGATACGGTCATAAGTCTCACATCGATTAAGAGTTAAGGTCAAGGATAATTTATATACACATTCTTCTCTCAACTCATTGAGGTGTCTTTCAAGGACAAAAACATGATTGACTAGAGTTCTAAAATGAATAATACCTTGAACGTGGTAATAGATCCTAACGATACTATAATCACATACACACGTACATAAATCATACTTTCACAAACATAGTCTTAACATTCATTCTAGCATACATACATAAATCATCTTTTAATCACATATTATACATTCAAATGCAAGTTAAAGAAATCATATTCATACAATATCAAAGTTACTCAAAATCCATGTTACTCATAAGGGATTTTTACTTTAGTGAAATCTCTTTTACAATCCTCATTGTTAAGAATTCAAGTGTGAGTTTAAAGTTCACATTGGGTAGAAATGAGAAAGTTGAGTAATTTATAAGTGAGAAAAACCTATAACCTAATGTCTTGATATTTTGAGTTAAAAGTGGTGTCATATTTTTTTTATATGGTGAACAGTAAAATGAGTCTCTAACTTAAGCAAAAATGAGACTAAATTAGTTCTCTCTCTTTTAGAGTTTCGTCACAATCAAACCTTTGTTTGAACAAAAAGATTCGAGAGGATCCTCACCCTCTATTTTTTTATCGCTTGAGTGACAATGTGTCATGTGAGCTAATTATACAAATCTCAAAATATATGTAGAAGGTTCCAATCAAAGTTTAAGGCACATAAGCCTAACATGTTTGTGCTACTAATTTTACCAAAATCTAATGTAATTGAACTTACTTAGGAAAACTAAGACAGGTTTGAATTTAGAAAAATATGAAAAGGGGTAAGAAAATGTAGAAAAAAGATAGAAAAAAAGTTTTAGAAAAATGATAACTTTATTTGTAAATGAAATTTGAATAATTAAAGTTTTATTTAACTAGTAAAATATCAAACCTCACTTCTATTATTTTAGAAAAGATAAAATCATATTATTTTATTAATTAAGGGAGTGAAATTATTTCACTCTTGATGGATAGACCAGAAAAATTAGATAAATTAGAGAAAAGAATTATAATATAAATTAAATAAAGTCAATTTTGATCAAATCCATTTAACTTATGACTTAAATGGATTAGATGGGATCCATAAGATATTCATAAATTTGTTTTATAAAATTATTATTATTATTTTTAAGTAAAAATGATATTATTTTATTATATATATATATATTAATTTATATTTATATCAAATTATTATATATAAAATTAAAATGATTTGTATTAATATAATTTAAATTTTAAAAATATGTATTTTTATTTTTCAAAATTAATTTTTTGAATAAATTATTTTTTATATAGGTATGATTTTATTATATTTTTTTAACTTTCACTAAGTAAAAAAATTACTTTTTATCCATCAAGTATAAAACCAAACTATATTATGATATACTTTCATATCCTATTATTAATAGTTATGGTTTTTTCACTTAAAAGTGTGTCAAAATGAGTCAACTCAGCTCAAACAGGTTGTCTTACCACGAGTTGAACCGAAAATAGACAAGTTTAACCTAGTTCACTTTATGGTGAATAAAAAATTTTAAAAATTGGTTTAACCCACTACAGGTTGGTGGGTTAGGTGAGTTGACTCACTAACCCATATTTATTTATTTTTTTCAATTTTTTTTTCTAATAAGCACAACTAAACTGCGAGACTAAAACACAATGGTGTAATGACATGTCATATATTATATTACGACTGAAACAAGAGTAACGATGCAACTGAAGCACGGTGGTGTAGTCACATGATAAATGTAGTGTTGCGACGAACACAGAGACACGACAAAGGTTGTAACGCGACAAACAATGATACATTGAACGGATCATAAGCGGTGAATGAATCGCAAGTGGCCTAGGTATAGCGACGGACAGATCACAAGTGGCCTAGGTACAATGACTGGATACATTAGTATTATAGAGAATTAATAATAAACTTAAGTGAGAATTTGACTTGTAGTAACACCTGAAATAGAGGTAGAGAAGTAAAATAATATTAATTAAGATCATTAAATTATTATAATCATTTTTAAATTTTAGAATAAATGATAGGTTGTGAAACGATCCACCGTAAACCAGCTCGATCTTGTTTAACCTATGGATTAAATGAATTAAATTCATTTTTAACCCATTATCCATTAAAAAAAATCAAACTCAATCATATTCCAACCCATAATAAACCGATTAACTAATGATTTACAAACATGTTACCACCTGGCTAAAAAATCTGTAAATCTTTATAAATTTACTTTGATGATGCTGAATTCAAGCTATCTATGCCTATAGAAAAGATTAATGAAGGCAATACCATACTTTAAAGATTGTTTGTTTCCGAGGATAAAAAGGTGGGAGGAACAAAATTTAATGATTTTAAATTTTATTTTCTCCTTTTGCAAAAAGTGAGGAAAGTTAACAAATTCAGACATTATTAATTATGTTTCCAAATATAATTGATTAAAAAAATAATTATTTTTATTGTTATAATAATAATTAAAAAAATATATATATCTATTTGATTTTCTACTATTTTTTTATTTAAACATTTTTTTTTCATTTTTCCACTTTATCAAATTCACATGAAAGGATTTAACTCTGCTACAATAACTTGTTGATGTAAAAAATTTTGACACAGTTATTCTAGTCCACAATTTTCAACAAACTTAATAGTAAAAGCGAAAGTAAAGAGATTACGTAGAACAAAAAAAAATAATCTAGAAATATCTCAAAAGGAATCCCAATAACTACTCTATTCCCATAAAAATAATACTCTTTCTCTTTTCTTACTTAGTTAGGGATATTCCTTTATTTTAATAGGATAGCAAGTGTAATAATCCAACTTCTTAACCCCTTCACATTGATTTAAGCATCACAAGCAAGACCACCTTAAAAAAAGGAGGAAGTAAAAATAGTTGTTTTGTATAATAACGATGTTCCACAATTTTTTTGAAATTTACTCAACCCCTTCGTTCTTATCCTTCCATTACGAAGAGGAAAAAAAATGGTATATTTTACCTATTTTAACAGAGAAAAAAAGTTTTTTTTTTTTAATGAGATCCAATATTTTATTAATATTTAAGGTTAGAGATAAGTTATTTAATTTTCTAGTACCTATTTATCAAATACTACTACTATAAAGTTAGTTAGCCAAGTTCAAACAATTGACCAAATCAAAAAATCATATGATATTGGGATAAGTTAAAATTGCCACCCTGCAATGCAGTGATCACTATAAATGTTTAGAATATGAGAGATATAGTCTATGGACCATGTATGTATGGAGTATGACCCAAAAATAATAATATATATAAATAAATATATAAGGAGAGACATGTGATGGTCACGCGCTACATTTGAGAATGGGGAAAGGCAGTGAGGTGAAAGCAACATTACCGAAGGGAGGGAAAATTACTGTGCAGACAACATAGACAACATAAACTAAAAAAAGTTAAAAAATAAAGTAGAAACAGTGATAGAGAGAGAAATATAGCACTACATCCCAGAAAACACAAGTAACAGAGTGTTTCCCACAGAAAACATAAGCAAGAAAAGAAAAAAATTACATTCATGGCTTTCTCCCTTTCCTTCGACATCTGTTTGGAGCTAATTCAGCCACGGATCCAGAAAAATAAGGACAAGCTTTGAAGGGTTTGGTGTTCATTTCTTTTTTGTTTTTAAACAAGCGACAAAGAAGAAGAATCAGACTCATGGCTTTCTTCTTTCACTGTAAATGTTTGGAACATAACAAGTCACAGATCGAGAAAGAAAAAGAAAAGCTTCATGGGTGTTCAAGTTTTCGTCTTTGGAATCCCGTGTATGAGGTAGTGTCCATCACCAATTTTGAATATCCCACCAAAATTCTGAACCTTGTTGCCATTCAAAATTTCACCTTTTTAAGCTTTAGCATTTGAGTTTGCATTATTTACAAAGTGTTTTTTTTTTTTTTTTTTTTTATGTTCTGGTTCTGTAGGCCAACCTTCATTTGTTCAAAAACACCTACTTTCATACCGGTTAACAAAAGGTGCTCACTTTTGAAGAAACTGGAGTCTTTTAGGGTGGTTGGTTTTTTGAGCACTTGGCACCCTTGTTAGTTAACTTTCGTAGATGAAGGCCATGCCCTTTCCTTTTGAGGAGTTTCAAGGGAAGGCAGTGTTGGATTTCTCTTCAGTCTCAGATTCATTTTCACTGCTTTTGCATCATCCACAACCAAAGTGGACCATAGACAAAGACGATTATTGCTATGTGGGCAGCACTGAGCCCACCTCAGTTCTTGACTCCAGAAGAAGCCCGAACTCTTCCACCATGTCCACTTCCCATGGCAGTAGCAACACCATCAGTAAGGGTGGCAGTGGTGCCTCAACCAATAACACCACTTGTTACACTGCAACCCTTTCTCAGAACCCTCCTCACGCATTGGAAACCAGCACAGAAAAATGTGGTGAGAGAATGGAGGACTGGGAGGGTCAAGATCAATCCATTCTGAGACTAATCATGTCAGATGTTGACCCTTCTCCAGGGTTGAGCAAGCTCTTCCAGGGCAGTGGCTGTGGCTCTCAACAAAGTGTTGATTTCAATGCAGGTTTTGGTGTTGTTGATCAAGGGTTGAACATGGTAAGTATTGTTGACCCTTCAGGGAATTACCCTGGTTTCCCTTTTATTGCTGAGAATATAGATGGCCATAATGGTAAGACTGGTACTTTGTCTGTCGGAGAACCAATGTTTTCTGCTTCTGGTAACAATTCTTTGGTGTTTTCAACATCTCCTGGTGGGTTTAATTCTCAGCAACAAGTGATTGGGGAGGTGGATGAGAAGCCTCAAGTCATCAATCCCCAGTTTGAGTTAAACCAGACTCAAGTTCAATTCTCTGAGAACCCATCTTACTTTGTGCCAATGATGTGCCCCCAATTGCAGGAACAGCAAGTTTTCACTCAGCATCCAGCAAAACGCCCCGTTTTTGAGCCTGTTGGGCACAATTACCAGGCTCCAAGGTTGCCCCTTTTGGATTCAGGGCAAGAGGTGTTTGGTAGGAGGCAGCAAACACAGCTTCCATTGTTTCCTCATCATGTGCAACCGCAGGTTTTGCCATCTGCTAAACCGCAGAAGGCGAGTTCCACCGGAGAAGATGCAAGCCACCAGCTTCAGCAGGCTATATTTGATCAGTTATTCAAAACTGCTGAGCTGATAGAAGCTGGGAATCCGGTTCATGCGCAAGGGATATTGGCGCGGCTCAATCACCAGCTCTCCCCTATTGGTAAGCCTTTTCAGAGGGCTGCTTTCTACATGAAGGAGGCCTTGATGTCACTGCTTCATTCAAATGCTCACAATGTCTTGGCTTTCTCCCCCATTAGTTCCATTTTCAAAATTGAAGCATACAAGTCCTTTTCTGAGATATCACCTGTTATTCAGTTTGCCAACTTCACTACTAATCAAGCAATCATTGAAGCTGTGGAAAGGTTTGATCGTATTCACATTATCGATTTTGATATCGGGTTTGGAGTGCAATGGTCTTCTTTTATGCAAGCGCTTGCCATGAGGAGTAATGGTGTGCCTTCCCTCAAAATCACTGCCATTGTGTCACCCTTCACTTTTGATGAGTTTGAGCTTAATGTGACTCATGAAAAGTTAAACCAATATGCTGAAGACATAAACATGTCTTTTGAGCTCAATGTTTTAAGCATTGAGTCATTGAACACTCCTTCATGTCCACTCTCTGCTCAGTATTATGATAATGAGGCAATTGCTGTGAACATGCCACTTTCTTGTTTCACAAACTGCCCATCATTGTTTCCCTTAGTCCTTCGCATTGTGAAGCAGCTTAGGCCAAAAGTGGTGGCCACTCTTGATAGAAATTGTGACCGACTCGATGTACCATTTTCCACCAATATAGGCCATGCTCTTCATTGTTACTCAGCCTTGCTTGAATCTCTTGATGCTCTGAATGTGAACCTAGATGTCCTTCAAAAGATTGAAAAGCATTTCATCTTGCCAGCCCTTAAGAAGATGATAACAAGTCCCCTTCGTTCACAAGAAAAACTACCTACTTGGAGGAGCATGTTTCTTCAATATGGCTTCTCTCCATTCACATTTAGTAACATCACAGAAGCTCAAGCTGAGTGTTTAGTACAGAAGGCACCTGTAAGGGGATTTCAATTGGAGAGAAAGCACTCATCTCTTGTTCTATGCTGGCAGAGGAAAGAACTTGTCACAGTTTCAACTTGGAAATGCTGAACTAATTATTACCTTATATTTTTGAAGGTGCTTCATAACTTACTTCCTAGTTTATGTAATTGCTTATGTATTTAGGCTTTTTGATGAGATTCACCACCCAAATGTTCCTCTTTCGATGGGTTGACATCTAGCTTCTAAGATTCTACAGTTGTTACTAGTGTGTTACTACTTTAAATATGGGTATATCATCTGTGCTTTTTCCCATTTCTATTATCTAAGGATTGGTGAGTTTCTGGCTGTTATATTGAGGGCAAAGCAAATTGCTTTGTAAGAAACGAACAATTTAGCCAAGAAGGGTCAACACTTATCTCCATGCTTTAGTTTTGTCTTATTTGTTGATGATTACTGTGTTAGGTGCTGACTTTGGCATATATTAACATCATGAATCTTGTGCCGATTTATGTCTATATGCAGGTATTTTTGTTCGAGTACATCGCATTTAATCTGCTTAACTTCTATTTATCAACCCTCTAGTTTCTTCAAGTGTTTATCTTCTCTCTTTAGTAGTTTCAAATTTATAAAAACTAAAAGTATTACCAATCCCTCTATGCATGTGAATGTGATGGGTGTTAAGCATTTCAAGAATTTCTCCTAAGAGTTTAAATTACTCAAGAACCGCAGAAAAAGGACAACATTGGTGATTTACGCATGATCTTACCAAAGAAATTGAAAAAGGAAAGCTTTGAAATATCATTAAAATACAACCCAAGGAATCCATTTTTAGTGTCCTTGGATTACTTTATGAATCCAAATAATCAATTAATTTTTCGCGATCAAGGGAATGCAACCAATAGTAGCTTTTACTTTTTCATGTATCATCATGATTTTGTGGAATAAAATCGATTCGTCATTGTTGTCTCAACATACTATTTAACTTGATAATAATGGTGCTATGCTATGTTGGCATTACAATAATAGGTGAAAAGATAGTATTTTATTGAATTAAAAGTGTTTGTTAAATTAGTTATCATTTAACTGATAAAAAAAAAACTGCAATTAGATAGCATTTTATGACTTTTTTATTTTGTAGACAAAAATGTATTTTAGTTAATTCTTAGAAGTTCATTATTTTGACATGAAGACCAAACATTCTACTGATAATTAAAGAAATACTAATCTTAAATGAAATATAGGTATTGTGAGTGTGTGAGGGTAAGGGTTTTTTCTTGAGATAAAAAGAGTATTTTTAAAGTTGTCACATGTAATTTTAAATAGAGTATGACAAAATGTTACATGTTAGTAGAATTTAATTTATTTTCATTATTTTTCAATGGTATTGTACATTCATTTAATTATTTTGTTCACTCTGTATTGTTTTTGTTTTCCGACAAATTTATAAAAGCAGGTCAATTCAGTCCCCCACCCTCGTTTTGAGCAGATTGGTGGCGGGACGCAAGGGACCAACAACTTTCTAAATTCGACATTTTCTAATTCTTTTTCAAACTAATAATAATAATAATAATAATAATAATAATAATAATAATAAAGTGTTAAATAGATAAATTGTTTATTGTTTTCATAGCTACATTTGTTATCTGTATTCTCAAAATATGAGTAATGTTTGGATTGATGTTTAAAGCGTCAAATCTATATTTTAGATATGAAATCATAAATTCATATTTTATTTTATCTAACCTGAAGTAATTAATATTTTAAATATTTAATAAATTATATATTATTAGCATGGTTTATTTATCGGCTTCTTTGAATTTTCCCAAAAAGTATATTACTCAACACTTTGTTTTAAATAATTTAAAATATTTATAAAATATATTAAATATGTTAACATCAACAATTCTTTAACAGTATAATTTGGTTAATTTATTTTTTCAATTTTTTAAAATATTTTTAAAAATATTTTCTTTTTAAATTAGAAAAGAAATTAAATATTTGATAATCATAATTTATAATCTGGTTTAGATGAAAAAATAATATTATCTACCTCTCAACAAAATTTAAAGATAATTTCATAATCATAAAAACAAGTGATGTAAAATAATTGCTAATAAAATACACATAAAAACATAAAATAATATATATAAACAAGTGAGAATAAAATCTGTAGTATTTTGAATTGAATTTAAAGTCCAAACATATAATTAACTATGAGTTATTCAAAGTTTTGTCTCATTTATCAAAAAGTACTTAGTTGTTCGAATATGCCTTTGAAACCTATTTTACATTAATTTAAAATAAAGCAATAACTTTTATTCACGTTAGAGAATTCATTGTTTTACACTCCTATAAGTATAATTAACACCACTATAAATGAATATTGATTATGAGAAAATTTTTATTTTTATTTTACACTTCTATAAATATAATTAACACCACTATATTCATGTTAGAAGTTTTTTTTTTTAATGAAGACTAACAACATATAACGAATGTATTTCTTGAATTAAAACTATATTTATTTTTTTAGTTTGATAATAAATAATATCATGATTTAATAGTTTACATTTTTTTTCAATGCTTTAGTCCTCTGATATTTGTATTGAAATGTAGAATGAAAAATGATTAATACAAGAAAATAAACAGAAAAAGATAGTATTTTTCTTATTTAGTAGATAGGAAAGTAAAAAAATTTTTTTTACAATAATCTATATATATATATTAAAATTTTAAACATAAAAATGAATAATAATTTATTTAAGTGAAGAGAATTGTCTAAAATAATTTTTTTCTAATATATAATGGAAATATATATATATATATATATATATATATATAATTATTTCAATAAAATATCATAACTACGAAAAACCATAAAATTAAATAAATACTTTAATATATTTTTTTAAAATTATAATTATATTAAAATATATTATTAAAAAAAGAATTTGAAAGTATTAATTTTAAAAATTATTTTATTAAAAAAATAATTAATAATTATATAAAAATTGTAACTAAATAAATATTTAATTTTAATTTAATTATTTATTATTTTTTAAAATAAATACTTCTTTTATGTATTTTTATTTAAACAAACGAATATTTTCCACTCTAATTTATATCTCTCTCTTTCATTTTCTTTAATATCAAATATACCCTTAATGTTATTAAACTTTGCATGTAGCCTTCAATTCCATTCAAAGCAATCGTTATTTGAATTAAATGTTTATTGTTTGTACTAATTTCTCTTAAATTAAATCAAATCAAATTAAATGTACAATACAAGTACGAAAGAAATAGTTTTAAATGTATTATTAAAAAAGTACTAAAAATATTTGAAAATACAATAACATGCTCTAAGATATAAAAAATAAAAAAAAATTTGATCGATAACTATTGATTGTTCGGTTGTCATTTTCATAAGGCATATATTAGAGTTATAGGTGAGCATGATAGTTAACCTATTAATTGTTATTGTAGTTAACTAAAATTAAGAGTTGATCATTAAATAATGCGCGTATGATTTGGGTTTTGAGTCTAATACGACGCTAATGAGGAATTAAAGTTTATATACAAACATGGCATAGATCCAATAAATAAATATGTAAACTTGAACGTTTCAACTGTCATATAATCCAAACATGGTTTAAGGTGTCATTATAATTTAACTATTTAAACGTGGAAATGCTAACTCTCAAATGTGGAAAGGGTGTTTAAAAATAATTAAATAAATAAACACCTTAACGTGTGACTTGATTTCCCTAATACTACTCAACTTTTTCGTTTTCAAATCAGTTTCATTCATCATTCATACATTTTTTTTTTCCAAGTGTTGTTTACGTCATAGATAAGTTAAAAAAATATATTTATAATATACACATAAGCTTATAAATAATATTAACTCTATATCAATGAAAAATAACTCAAAAATAAGATATTTTATACCATTTTTTAAAGTCTCATAAAAAATTTATCATTCCATTTTTCTGTCTATTTTGAAAAAATAATTCTTTATAGATTTATTCTTAAAATATATATGTTATTGAATAATTTATAAATATATTAAAAGAAAATAAATAAAGAAATATGAGAAATTTCAAAGAAAATAATGGTAATGAAAGAAGAAATCGAAGTTAGTAAGGATCGAATATCAAGATAAAAAGAATGATATAAAAGTAAGTAATTATCTAATAGAGTAATTAATTGGAATATATAGATCGAACGTATAAGCTAAAATGAATGTTTATAATCAAGAAATATTTGAGAATGTGTAATATGAAATAAGAGATTGAATTGAATAGATGAGAAGTTAATTGAGGATATGGTAGGGTTAATTGAACGTTTGAAATCAAAGAGTGAGAATATCAAGTCAAGGACTGCAAGATCAATCGAAAAGGAGTTATACAATGGAGAGATGTGAAAAAACAATTATGATCTCGTTACCTGACATGTCATGGGTATTATGTAACAACAAAATGACTTGAAAAAAATAGGAATATTGTAATAGGAAAATAATTGTTTATGGATTTTATTTTATTTCAATTATTATATTTTATTTTACTTATCTTATTTTTATTTTAAAGTGTTTTAGCGGTTACACAAAAAATTATAAATAAGATGAAATAAATGTGATTGTCAAATCATAGGAAGACTTACATTCTGACAAAAATGCAACGAGTAGGCATGGCAACGGGGTGGGGCGGGGCGGGTTTTGCCTCCCGATCCCAGCCCCGACTTTTAATCATCTCCGTCCCCGTCCCCGATCCACGGGGTTAGAAATTAAGTCTCCATCCCCCTCCTCGCTGGGTTTCGGGTTCCCGTCCCGCCCAGTCCCGTCCCGATCTATATTATTTTTAAAAAGATAATTACATTTATAATAAATTAATTTTATTATCTATTTTTCATATATAAATAAATATTTATAATTTTATAATTTATAATAATTACTAATTAAATATACATTTTAATTTATTATATTTATATTAAAATATGTATGTAAAAAAAATATTTAATTATTTTTTATTTATAACATTATTATTATACTGTATTCAAATATTTGAATACTTGTAACATTATCATCATTATTATTATAATACTTGTATTCAAACATTTGATTATATATATATATATATATATATATATATATATATATAAAATTTAATTCATTTTTAAGTTGTCATTTAAAAGTATGAAATATATAGTTTATAATGAAATATTTAATAAGTTAATTATTATTCAATTAGTTCAAAGTAATAAAAGTTTTAATTATCAATTCCTTTAATCCGTTAAAATACAATTATTTTATTAAGATAAATTTTGATATATGATAAATAAGAATAATAAGATAAACAAATGACATAATAAAACTTAATAAATATAAATTATAAATAAAATAATATCAGTTACTATTAATATTTATGTAAAATATTTAGAAAAAGATAAAGAATAAAAAATTAATTGTGTTCATCAAATTGATTGAAAAGTTTGAAAAAAAAACAAATTGATGAGAAAGATTAAGGAAATATGAAAAACTGCAAGATATAAGAGAGAATAATGTAATAAATTAATTGATATAAAAGATTAAAAAAGACAAAAAAATAAAAAATAGGTAGAAGAAAAATAAAAATTGGTAAAATATAAAAAAATGACCTTATATGTAATAGAAAAAGAAAAGAAAATACTTTTAAAATATTAATATTTTAAAATTTAAATTTAAATATAAAGTCGGGGTGGGGACGGGGACGGGCCGGGTGGGTATTGCATTACCCATCCCCGCCCCCGCCCCCGACTTTTTAAAGCGGGGAAAACCCGCCCCCGCCCCCGGTCAACTCGGGTTTTTCCCGTCAAACTCGGGGCAGGTGCGGGTCGATCCCCACGGGGACGGGTTTAATTGTCATCCCTAACGAGGACAGAAAAAATAATTTCAATGAAATCCTTTGCAATTTTGTGTTAGGATCGAGCGCTTACCACTAGGCCAAAAGCTATAGCCATTAGTCAGAGCGCAACTCTTTTTACTTTAACAGCCTAAGCGCCACGATTCAATTGTGACTCGGCCCACCTGACCTTCGTCACAGGACAATTGATGCTACCTGCAACAATCTCCCCTCGCCAATTGTCCTACAAGGTATCCCACTCTTGGATTGTGACTTGGCCCACCGGCCTCTGCCACAGGACAATTGTGCAACCTGCAACAATCTCCCCTCAACAATTGCCCACCAGGAATCGAACTCGTGACCTTGGCTCGATACCAATTGTTAAGAACAAGACAATAATAAAGGAAAGAATGAAGGAGAGAAAATAAACGACACAAGAATTTTAACGTGGTTCGGCTAAAATATGTATGCCTACGTCCACGACTACACTAGGAAGTATTTTTATTTCGTGTGTAGTCGTGGACGTAGCATACATATTTAGCGAACACGTTAAAATTCTTGTGTCATTTCTCCTTCATTCTTTCCTTTATTGTCTTGTTCTTAACAATTGGTATCAGCCAAGTCACGAGTTCATTCGGTGGCAGTTGAGAGATTGTCAGTTGCATTGCCGGTAGTGGCAAGTCACAATCCAAGTGGGACTGTAGACTAGCGAGGGGAGATTGCGGGTAGCATCAATGTCCTGTCGAGTGTGGCCGAGTCAATGAATCGTGGCGCTAAGTGTTAAAGTAAAGATTGCGCTGACTAATGCTATAGCTTTGGCTAGTGTAGCTCGATCTACGATGGTATCGAGCCAAGGTCACAAGTTCGATTCTGGTGGGCAATTGTTGAGGGGAGATTGTTGCAAGTTGCACAATTGTCCGTGCGAGGCGGGTGGGCCAAGTCACAATCCAAGAGTGGGATACCTTGTAGGACAATTCTGAGGGGAGATTGTTGCAGGTAGCATCAATTGTCCTGTGACGAAGGTCGAGTGGCGAGTCACGATTGAATCGTGGCGCTTGATGTTAAAGTAAAAAGAGTTGCGCTCGACTAACGGCTATAGCTTTTGGCCTAGTGGTATGCGCTCGATCCTAACATTTTGGTCACCATCTTTGTTGATTTTCTTTACCAATTTATGTTTTATCCTTGGTAATAAACTAAATTTATTTTCCTGTAATTTACTTTCTTCGCATATTTATTTTCCAACAATTTATTTTTATTATATTTTTTTTACAAGTTATTTTAAATGTTATAATTTATATTGAAAATTCAATTTATATATGAAAGGTCATTAATTAAAATTTATCTTATTTTAATTATTGAATGATTGGTGTTGAATTCATCTTAATCCTCTAAAATTGAAAAATATTTATGTTTATTAATCAATATTAAAAGAATTAAAAGAATCCACGTTAGATTCATTCCTGATAAGAAATGAATTAATAAAACATCAACAATATCTCAAATTATATATATATACCGTTGATTTTAATTTATGTTTTATTTTTAAGTTATATAAGATTTAGGAATATAAATATAAGTATACTGAAAAGAAAAAATAGGAGTGAAATAATAGAGGACATGTATATTTAATTTGTTCTGATGAAAAAATATGTATATCTCCAATTAATGTGTGAGTTCTCATCATTAAAATGAATAAATTAGATGTATATAGTAATGTTGTGAATAAATTAAATTAATTTAAAATGAAGTAATTTATTTTGAATTTTGAAGCATATAATTATAAGCTATTATGGATTATTAATAAAAATTAAGGTAACGTTGAACGGATATCTTTATATTCAGGGTTGAAGGTCTTAAATGTAAATTTTATATGATAGGATATTGTAGTTAAACAATAATGTAATAATAAGTTTAACTAGGAATAATAATAACTTTTCGATTTAATTAATGTAGAGTTATTGGTTAAACAAGAGAAAAGTAATATTAAAAAGAAGAATATAAAAAATCTGAATTCACTAAATATGAAAAGCAAGAAAGTTGACATATCTAGTGTCATTACTATTCTCTAATTTTAAATTACAAAAAAATCTAGAAAAGTTGATCTTTGGTCCTATCAATTGTAATCATTTGAGTGCGTGAAGGAGGAATTGTCCATTGAACAAGGATAAAGGAAAAGAAAACAAACATAACCATGGTTTGTTTCCAAGTGGATCATGCATGGTGCAAGATAGTTAGTTGTGTGCATGCGCATACAAGAGAACGACTCCAAACACAACAACTTCACCCTTACAACACATTAGACCATAAGAAAAGGAACAAAGATGGGTCCAACCAGAAAAAGAGTGGGTTTGTGACACAATTTATCTATGAAGATACCCATTAACTAGCGACTGTGACGTGTTGTCTCGTGTGCTGCATTCGTTATGGACAGTGGGAATGGACAGCGACACATAAGGCCAACTTGGTAGGACCCATTATCCCTAATGAATGGTCACCATCTTAGACTGTGACACGTGTACGACCATTGTACACCTTGACCATGACAATTCAGCTTCTTCCACACTACTTTGCCAGATCATCACACCGTTCCTTCACTTCCAACAATTCACAATAATTTTTTTTTTTCCTAAAAAACAAATAATTAAATTATATTAATGTATTTTCTTTATAACTTTTTTGTTCCCTCAAAATTAGTTGAAGAAATATTTGAGAAAGAAATCCACCAATGTTACAGTGGACCCCTCCTCACAGGATAACAGTGTGTCCTTCGTATTGTGCTCCTACATCATGCACATGGCACTACCAAATCCATCAGACAAGTTCTTCAGAGCTTATGTGAACAGTGTGTTTCGTCCACATTATTTTATAAAAATATATAAATGTATTCATTAAAAAAATTAATTAAAAATTTTTAAAAATAATTTTGAAATATTAAAATAATTTAAAAGTAATAAAAAGATTAGCGAGTAAGATCAATAACTTGGATCAATTCAGAGATTTTGCGATATTTAGAGTACAGAAGGAGAAAATAATTTATTATCATAATTATAATTGTGCTTGTAAACTAAAATCAACATTAGAAATAAGCTTAAAAATAATCCTAAGTTAAGTAAGATTTAATATAATCCATAAATACTTTTGGAATGTATTAAGGTAGTGAGAACAAAATTGAATATATTCTCTCTTTTTTCATAGAAATATAGATAATTTAAACCTAATATATATATATATATATAAAGTGTGAATAAAGATAAAAAATAATAATATTAAACATACAATTTTAATGAACATTTTAACTCATGAAGGAGAGATTGCTGGAACATAAAATTCAAGATAGTTTTCAACACTTTGAAGAGAAAATCCGATGTTTTCACCACTATTTAAATTTAAACTTTGAAATATTAATATTTTAAAAATATTTCATTTTCTTTTTTTTATTATATAGTCATTTTTTTATATTTCACTATTATTACTTTTTTTTTACTAACTTTTTAATTCTTTTATCCTTTTTAATATTTTAAATAAATTAATTCATTATATTATTTTCTTTCTGTTACCTTTCACTTTTTCACCTTTCTTTAATTTCTCCAATTAATTTGTTTTTTTAAATCTTTTCAACCAATTTTGTAAACACATAATTAATTTTTCTTTTTTTATCTTTTTCTAAATATTTTAGATAAATATTAGTAGTAACTAATATTAATTTATTTATAATTTATTTTTATTAGAAAAATATTTTAAATAAATATTAGTAGTAACTAATATTAATTTATTTATAATTTATCTTTATTAAATTTTATTATGTCATGTTTTTTGGATTTTATTATTTTTACTTGTCATGTATCAAATTTTAACTTATGTTAAATTTTATTTTAATAACATAATTATATTTTAAAGAATTAATAATTTAAATTTTAAACTAATTAAATAAAAATTAACTTATTAAATATTTTTTTATAAACTATATATTTTAAATGATAACTATATATATATATATAATCAAATATTTTAATAATAATAATAATAACGTTATAAATATTATAATTTTATATAAAGAAAAATAATTAAATGTTTATTTTATATTCATATTTTAATATAAATATAATAAATTAAAAAATATATTTAATTAATAATTATTATAAATTATAAAATTATAAATATTTATTTATGTACAAAAAATACATAAAAATAGTAAAATTAATTTATTATTAATATTATTATTTTAAATAATATAAATCGGGAAAGAACCCAAAACCTAATAAGAATGAGATAAAAACTTAATTTCTAACCCTAACAGAGATCAAAGATAAGGACGGTTAAAAAAGTCGGGGCTAAGATCAGAATGCAAAACTCATCCTGTGGATCTCTTTTTTTCTTGAAAAATAAATCTATAGTTTTTTTATATATCTCTAAAATTTAACCTTTTTTTTCACATTTTAACGTTGAAATAAACATCATAAAACATTAAAAAAATAATTAATTGGTAGTAAATAATATCCAAGCTAATATGTTACAACCGTCAACAATACATATAATTTTACTTACTTTTTTTTCTTTGAAAAATATTTGGAGTAACTTTGTTTAGTTTTGAACTTTTATTTTTTATTTCAAATACTTCATTTCTCTATTATGAACAGGAGAGAAAAAATTATAAAAAAATTACAAGTTTTATCTTATAGAAGTGAAAGTGTACAAAAGAAAAATATAAATTAAAGAGAAAAACATACTATTGTTATGTTGTAGTAAAATATAGAAATAGAATAATGATAGAGAAATTGGTAGAAATGAAAAAAGTGAAAATGTGAGAGAAGAAAAGATAAAAAATGTGAAGGTAAGTTGAAGTGGGGAAGAGTGAAAATGTAGAAGAGGAAAATTATAAAAAGATAGAAAGATGAGAAAAAAAAATGTAAGTGAGAAACTGTAAAAAAATAAAAATTGTTATAATAATAATAATAATAATTATTATTATTATTTTCCATGAAAGATATAAATATAATATTTAAATTTTATTTGATATTTAAAAAATTAATCATATTATATATATAAAAGATTGGGGAGGAGACAAGGGCCACATAAAAAAATTACATAATAAAAATTAAAATCTAACATAAAAAAAAAATTATGAGATAAAATTATAAAATACAAATTATTATCGATAATGAAATAATATTTTCAAATATTACCTTTATTATAGGCAGGGAAGAAAACAAAGAAGGCGATAGGCAGATGTCTGAAACACGATGAAATGAAAAATATAAAAAACAATTTTTTTATTTTTTTAATTAAAAAACGTTTTTATGTCAAAAATAATATAAAAAATGTTTCTAATAACAATTTTTTTACCGTACAGATCATCCTGATAAATCTTTATAAAATGTTATTTTTGTGTTAATGTTAATCTTTTAACTACTTGAATGCGGCATTAAGTGTTTGTTCTCTTCTTGATTACACTAACAACATTTAAGTTTATATAAAGAATTGAAAAATAAAATCTTAGTGATAAGTATTTAATTTAATTTAATTTTAATAATAATTTCTAAACTATTTTAAAAATTAAATAAAAGGTTGCCTGGTACCCCGTTATCTTTGTAAACTATCTATAAAAGAAAACTAAAGTTTTAGTTGAAATTTTTTATCATGGGTATATTTATTGAGAAATCGTCTTTTAAGTTATGTAGAATAAGAATAAAATAAAAGTTGAACAACCTAGATCCATAATTTTAACGTCTTAAAATTTTTGTTAAAGGTGATATGAATTGTACATGTGAGTTTCACTGGTGAATCTTCCTTCAAAAATATTGTGTCAACCCAACCCATCTTACTCAATAAAAATATCAAATTACTGGTTGACAGCAAAATGGTACAACTCATATCTAGAAAGAGAAGGTTGCCAAAAATTTGTTCCTAATGATAACTAAACCTTTCACTTTTAGGAGGAGGCTTCTTGGGGACAAAAGTGCTTACTTGAATTCCTTAATCAAAAGCCTTTTATCATTATAGTTTTAAAGGAAGAACAATTTTTAGATCTCTGAAACAAAAATAAAACATCAAACTTTTGTATACCTAATACACCACACTACCAAACTCACCTTGCATCACACACACCTGTCTTTGAACTTGTGGTGACATGACCATGATGCTCAATGGAAGAGACGCGGGTCCAAATTATTTGCTACCATATATATGTTTCTACCTCTTGCAAAGTACATAAAACACATTCCTTGACAAAAAATGGCATTAACAGATCGAAATTCCTACTGTTCCTAGGTCATATATTCTTGTCTCTTCAATAATGATTTTTGAAGGGAGTTTCTTTTACACGAATTGCTTGTATCCCACAGTTACATGAAACTACATGTTAGAATTTAGGGTTTTATAACTACAAACACATGGTCCTCCTAATAACACACTATGGAAACCATGGAATAGAAGGTAAAGCTAAGCATGTGAGCATCCAAGGCAAATAGCATATATAGGAAAAGCAATGAAAAGAAAAGGGAAAAGTGGGTGTGAGGTGGAAAATGTGGGGGTAAAGAGATTAGATATATAGTAATAAGGGTTTGTGTGTGGGAAAAAAGTTGCGGTTTTGTTTGTCACCAGACAATCTTTTACCCGTCCATCTTTCATTCCCAACTTTTGCAGATGCTTTGCCCACCATATCTCCTCCAACTCTTTTCAAAAGTTTCCATCAATATTTGTTTCTTCTCTCTCTCTCTCTCTCTCTCTCTCTCTCAAACACAAACACAGTTTTTTCTTAGTCAGCTTAGAAACAACGCTTTCTTCATATCCCACACATTTTATTCATCATCCCCAAAACACAAAAAAGTAAGTACTCATATGATTGTCAAAGTCACATATTGTAGGCCCTCCAATAACAAAACCCTTTCCAATTGGTCTCCCACTTTTCATGCATGCCCAATTCTCTCTCTCTCTCTCTCTCTCTCTCTCTCTCTCTCTCTCTCTCTCTCTCTCTCTCTCTCAGATATAGATATGTTGGATGGAGCTTTGCATTCAACAAGTTGGCTAGCCTCCAATTTAGGAATTTGCTACTTTTTTATCCAATGTTCTTCTGTCAAGGCATAATTTTTTTTTCTGTAGTGTGGGAAATCAAATCTAGGTCAACCACCATCCCGTTGCTTTCTTTGTCTTCAATCATTTTTTTTTTCTGGTTTTCCTCCTCGTTTATCAAGGTTAGGCTGCTACATATTTTTTATGGTTCCAAACAAGTTCTCTTTGTTGGTCAATGTCTTCATAATTAATCAAATATTGTCTGCTTCTGTAATAATTGCTACAAACATATCTAACTATTTTGCTCCTTTTCTTTATATATGAAGATCTTTGTAACTATTATATTACCATGAAATTTGATTTTTAACCCATTCAGGAAAAAAAAAAGATTTTTAAAAATGTTATGTAACGTTTGTAATTTTTATAAAATAATGTTTCACGGTTATAAGCAAAATAAGAACTTTCTTAATTACAGTGAAAAATGAATGCAATTTTTAGTTTAACTATAAAAAAAAAATAGGGTTTTTAGTAGTGTAAAAAGTAGAAAAAAAATTATTATGTAATTTAAACCTGCAACATCAACCATAAGTATACCAAATGATATTTATGCCTAAATTGTTTTATTGAAAGGTAAGTGAAAAAAGAATAATCCAAATATCCAGCAAGAAGATTTTGAGATATGTCTAAAATAATCCAAATATCCAACAATAAATATGTCTAAAATCTTTATCTATAGTTTATAGGTTTTGTTTTTGTTAATTAAGTCTTGGTTCAAACTTTCTACATGAATAAAAAAACACATGTGCACATATAATAATAATTTTTGGATTTGAACAGAATTGGGTAGTATAAAAAACATCTTTGACTTTAGAAATAAATAGAAAAGAAATTGAATTTAATAAAAAAAATTATATTCAATAATCTATTTACATATTTCCAATAAAATATTTTATACAAATTATGTTATACATAAAATTATATAATTTATGATTTTTATTGCATTGTATTATATTAAGAATTAAATCTTAAATATTTTATATTCAATTTTATTTGAATGGAATAAATTTTAAAGAACTATGTTAAGTTATTTTGAAGCTAAAGCCTAAATATTAAATACATTACATCCAATTTTGAAGCATAAAGCATAAATCTTAAGCAGGATTAAGGGTAATTTATTAAAGAATAACTATATTAAGTTATTTTAACGTAATTAATAGTTTTAAAATATTTGAGAAAAGATTTTTTCACTCATGCTACGAAGATAAATGTGTCAAATGGTTTAATTAACCCAACCATTTTCAATATCTATCGAGTTTGAAACTTTAATTAGTCATAAAAATGGATATGACCGTTGACTCAGTGGAGATATTATATAAATGATTAATGATCAAATTGTTCGATAACTTATTGAATCGGTTGATCCAACTTATTTTAAAAAATATAAATACATTGTATATGTATAATATAATTTAAAAATTTAACTAATTTAAAATTTTTGTATAATAAAATATTAATACAGGAAATAATAAATAAACTTCAATAAAATGTAATTGCATATTTCAAATATTAAAATATTACCATGGTAAAATACCTAATATTCAAACTAAAATTCTTAACAATAACACGAATCCATCAATAACTTTAAAAGGTAAATATTATCTATAAAATTAAAACTGAGTCAAGATTATTAGGGTTTTCGATTGACCTTATCGAGTTAAACTAATACAAATCAATTACATTTATAATCTGAATATTATCCCAAGCTGCTTAATTAACCACCAGATACTAATCAGATTAATCTAATTTTTAACTACGATCTTAACACAACCCAATTTATGCATTTTACGATTGATTTGGGTTGGCATGCTTACAAATATAAAAAGACAAAAAATATTTAAAATAACTCATAAATTAGTGGATCAATTAAAAAAAAACAAATAATCTATGTTAACTATATGATAAATAGTTCAAATATTTTAATTTTTAAAAATAAATCTCATCTTAGCATGTGAATCCTACCTAACTCATGATTAATCCGCTAGGTTCTTGAATTTAATAGTGCAATCAACCTAACCGCTTTACGTGACATAGACAAGTTGACACAACAATATATAGCTAACATCAACATAGAGAATAACTTTAACATTGTGTGCGGTAATAGAAGAAAAAATACAAAAAAAGGTAAGTCAGAAAAAAAAAGGTAAAAAAAATAAAATAAAGATATAACTTTTTTAATCATAGAAAAATAAAATTTTATTTTTATATTAATTTTTTTAACACATATTTTCGCAGATAATTGATTTTTGATTAATTATATTAAAAAAAAGATTATACGATTGGTGACAATTTTTTTAAGATTATAATTATAATAGTAATCTTTATTTTGGAAACGATCCATCAAATAAATTATTTACATGATTCTTTAATTTACACGCCATAATTTTTAAATATAAAATAATAATAAAAATTATTTATCAAATGAAGAAAAACTTACTATGGATATCTAAACAACCAAATATGAAGAATGGTGTGATAAGCGATGAAATGATTAATGAAATTAAAATAAACGTAGACAGAGAGATTCATAATATAAGTTTAACCTTTTAAGTTGTTTCTGAATCCACGTAACAGTGATAAGTAAATGGGAGTATCTAAATGGTGTGAAATGGGAGTATCCTAAACATATATATAAACATAACAACTAATTAAAAAAAATTAGATAAAAAAAATGAAGTTAATTCTCTCACTAATTCATCAATAAAAAAACTATTAAATATCTTAACTAACTATTAACGTACTTAATCAAATATTAAAATAATAATAATAATAAATATAATTTAAATTTTAAATTAATTTTCAACCATAATCAATTATTCTTTGATATATGACTATTGGTAACTCAAAATTTCAATGAAATATTAAAAAAAACAGGTAGGATTCAATGGGTAAAAATTTTCACTTAAGAGAACGAAGTTACCTGAAAATGAACTCGAACAATTTTCTTTCTCTTCCTTACTCATCATTTTTTTTACATCTCTCTCTTTTTTCCTACCTACTTCCTTTTGGTTTATTTTTCACCTAACTCAATTAAAGAAACATAAGAAAAAATCGTCGATATGAAGCTCAAGCAGCATATTTGATTTTTTTTTAATTATTAAACCAAAATTGAACGTTAATTGCTTAACAATAATTTAATAAAGTATAACATATTTTATATTTATGAATATGAAAAATAACCCGTTGAAGTTGCCCTAATAGATACAAAGAATATCAGTACCTGACAACACATTCATGCACAACACTATGTGGCATAAAACCGCATTTAACAAAAAGGTGAAAGAAAAAAATGATTTAAACTAATCAAGTTTGTGCATGCAATTTTCCTACAGCAGCCAAAGTTTGTGTATTAAATAATTGATGACAGCCTGTGTACAATGGTTTCAGTTCTTTCGGTTATATGATAGGACACGACCACTTAAACTTTTGTTTATATCATATGAACCATACAAACAACTTGACAATGTCCACGATGTGTCTTTTGGTGATATGTTTATTTATTTAAAGACCCTTTGGATTTTTGTGTTAGTCTCAGAAGCAAGGTTGACATATATATACTTGAATTAATCAAAATAATTTAACTGCATGATATGATACAAAATAACGACACATTGTACATAAAATAACTTGGATCACCTTGCAATGAATTTAGCTATGGCAGGGAAAATAATATATGGTTGAAGCTTTATTAAAGGGCTTAATTATTGGTTGATTGTTAGAATTGTGATGGACCTAAGTGTCGCTTAAATTGGAGTCATTATCATAACCACCAAATTATGGAGGAAAGCTATGTGGGTCAATATTAACAATTAATTAGGACTCAGTTAATCTAAGTGTAAAAATGGTGTATAGTGTGAAAAAAAAATATTAATATATGAAAACCCTAAATTTCTATGCATAAGATTTCAATTTGAATGCATGGAATATTTTATATTTAAAATATTATTCGTTTAAGAGTTTTTATTTTATCTATAAAATAAACCTTAATGGGTTAAATAAAAAGAATATATATAAATTACATTTAATTTTAACTCCTACGAGACTCAGGAACATATCAGTTAAAAATTTATCCTTCCTAATTCATTATGAATCTTAATAATAATTTTTAACATAACTCTATTATTGTGTGTACTAAGACCCACCATACTCAATCATAAAACCATCGTTTTCCAACGTTGTTGAAGACAACCAATATGAGTAAACTTCTTTGCTAAATAATTCCTAAATATGATGAACAAGTCGTGTCTTTTGCCTCATCATTCCTCACTTGTTTCTCGTCGTCATTTCTTGTTGAAAAACCCTAATCACGCGTAAAGTTATATATTGCTATAATAGTCGCAAAAATTATCAGCACAAAAAAAAAAAAAAAGTGAAATGGAATATTATAGTACAAGTTTATCTAAAATACTTGTTTCCATTATTTCATTAACATATAGTTCATTTATTTTTCCTTATAGTATATTTAAGCTTATTCCCAGAAATTTTGATGCCTTATTAATAAGTTAGTAAGAATTTATGTCTAATATTCTATTTTATATAAGCTTTTTATCATCTTATTTTTCTAAAATTTTCCGTTACAAAATTAATCATCTAGGTTTTATAATTAACTAATTTTAACATTTTATGCCAATGGATTATACCATTTAATTCACTTAATCAATCTAATAAAATGTTGGATCTCAAGTAAAAAATTTTAAAAATAGAAAACACTTTGTTGACCTTTAGAGAAATTATAGGCATTTTTAATAATAATTTCATATGCCAATGAATGCATTTATTTTAAAAAAATATTTCTATGCAATCTAATTAGCTACTATTTTATCTGATTAGCACTTTTTCTAATATCTTCTAAAATTCTAAAATAAATTATACCATCAATACGAGAATATTCACAAAAGCTTAAAATTTTCAAGATTATTAATACATATTTTGAAATTTATATTCATTCAAAGTTTTATTTATATATAATTCTAGTAAAAACTAGAAAAAATATAGCATTTAAATAATTAAGAAAAATATGATAAATTAAAGGTTGTGGCAGTGGGGATCGGAGCCCATGAAAGCTTAAACCAAACAAAGTAAGCCCAAAGTAGGTTTGGGCTTTGGTCATATATATATATATATATATATATATATATATATATATATATATATATATATATATATATATTTCAGTGGAAATTATTAAATACCAATCACGTCATCGTCCTCTATTTTGTTATTTGTAATTAATTTATCAGTAAATTTCACAATTTAAAATTACATGTATGTTTTAAATTATTATAGAAATCTCACAACTAATTTGAAATATTACGAAGAAAAATATTTTACATTTATTCAAAGACCGAAAAATGGAATAAAAATCTACATGGTACTTAAATTACACAGATATGAAATACAATTTTTTTTTCCGAATATATATATATAGTGATGATATCGTACATTTAGTTGGATATTCCTTATTTATTATTTCGAATGTATATAAACAAATTTATTTTCTATTATTTAAAGTTTGATTAAATAATTTTTAGAATATGAAATATATTGATTAAAAATGTATTTCAGAGTTAAAAAAACATTCTTAATGATGTTAAATACAACAAATCATATATAATAATAAAAATAAATTCTTTACGTTCAGAATATTCATGAGTCTGCTAGGAGTTAACATAAAAAAAATAATTTATATATATATATATATATATATATATATTTCTCTCATAATTTACTAAAATGTCTTTTAAAATAAAATTATAATAAATGAATTTTTTTAAAACATGTAATTCGTAGAATTAACTCTGACATCCTAACGAAGACAATTTATATTTTAGGTTAAACATAATCAAAATTTGTACATTTTTATAAGATGAGTTTAGTTTCACCATCATAAAATTTCGTAATGTTTTTCAAAATTAGAGAAGTGTCCAAATTTCGTATTATATTTCATTGAGACATTACTGCTTATACCATTATTGGTTTCGAAATGAGAAAGAGGAATTGAAGAAAGAGAAATAGTAAACTTAATATTTTATTTTGGGATAGATTGAAGTGAAAAGAAAAATATAAAAAGAAAGAAAAAGACTTGTAATGATAGATAGATAGATATATGATAGAAAAGAAAGAGATGAGAGATAGAAAGAAAACGGGGTGAAAAACATATTTGATTAAGAAGGAGTGAGAATAATGAAATGTGGCAGTGTTGTTTGAAAATTGAAAGTGAATATGATGGATATGTACGTACAAATTCACAGGCAATATTAGCTGGGCAATGGAAGTGAAAGGACAAATCAGTGAAGGACTGTAAGAACATATCAATCAAGGACTGACTGCAATAACTCAGTTGTAGGGATGGCAAAACGGGCCAGCCCGCCCCGTTTTGGCCCGTCCCGCCTTTGGTCCGCCAAAGCGGCGAGCGAGCTGACATCTGCCTTGGCCGCGCCTGCCGAGGGACGGGTTAGCGAATTTGTGGCACTGGCCGCCATAATTTAGAAATTTTTTTTAAATAATTTTTTTTAATAAATTTAATAATAAAATTATTATTTATTTGTCAATAATTCAATATATATATATATATATTATTTTAATTTAATAATATAAATCAATACATTATTTTAAGAAATTATAATTTAGAACAATAATAAAATTTATATAATAATAAATAATAACAAATATATATATATATATATATATATATATATATATATATATATAACGTTAAACTTATAAAATTTATATTTTTTATATTGAAAAATTCAAATACCTATATCTTTTTTATTTGATAAAACTTCATATTATTCTTGGTTGAGTAATTCTTACACCATTAATTCAAGTAATAAGGATAAAAATAATCGAGTGCTTAGGATAAACAAGGAGAACATGAGAGAAGATTATGTTTTAGGAAGGAGAATATTTTACTGTGAGTATAAAATTTTTTTAATTCTCTTTTTAAAATTTTTAACTTTATATATTATCTTTATAATTAATTTTATTACAGTAAAAATTATTTTTTTATTAATTAGGCGGGCGCGGGTTGGCCCGCCCGTCCCGTGCGGTTGGCCCGACGGGTTGGCGGGCATGGCGGGCGGGCCAAAACGGGCTGGTGGGCTGAAAACACCAACCCGCCCGCCATATTATGGCGGAGTGGCGGCCGGCCACGTGGGCCTAGCCCGTTTTGCCATCCCTACTCGGTTGGGAAGGGTAAAACATTATTTTAGTGGATAATAGTAAACAGTTTTTTTCAAATATTTTTAATTCTATCTCTTTAAATAAAGTATTACATATGATTTTGTCAATCAAATAAATGTAATTGAAACAAAAGAATGTTAATAAGGGTTTTTATCAAAAAAATTAATTATGAATAAATTTTGTAATTTATATATATATAATTATAGAAAAAAAGCAAGTTTGTGTTTTTTGGTTAAAAATAGAAAATTGATACTTTTTATAATATAAACAAAATTAGGTATTACGAAATTAAATATAATAGATTCAAAATGTAATAATCTATAATATATATATATATATATATATATATATATATATATATATATATGACATAAAAAAAATAAAATTTAACACATTTGATCTGTTTTCCTAATCTCTAAGTTTTTTTTAATGATACCTAATATTTGTATTATATTTATTTATAAATATATGATTATAACACTTAAATAATACAACATATGATAAATTAGTTATTAGATATTTTTTTCAAAACAACATCTCCAAACTTCATCAATTATATAATCATTTCAAATATTAAAATTAACCTTAATAATAATAATATATATTCCAAACAACTTTATTTTTTAATAGAATATTGGTATTTTTTTTACTGAAAATGGAGTCTTTTACCGTTCATACTTTTTAATTTTTAATTGGAAGTTATGTTTATGAATTAAAATAAAAGCTAATGATAATTTATATATATATATATATATATATATATATATATATATATATATATATATATATACATATTTACCACGAAAACGTGACAAACAAAAATGTTTTGGTGACAAACAAAAATTACAAAATCGATAATAGCTTAAATATAAAAATTATCTATGATAACATTAGAATCTAATAAAAATTAATGATAAAAAAACGTCAGTTGATATCTTTAATATTATAAAATAATATAATAATTAAAAAGTGATTTATTTTTATATGATTTTTTTACAAGTATTTAATGTTATTTCTTAAAAAAAAATCTATTTTTTAGATATATATTTTCATGAGAATAATTCCATGTTGCAGAAAAAAAATACATTCATTTTCTGCTTCACTTTTTAAATAATTTTACATGTTAAAAATCACAATAAATGATTATTTCATTAGATTTTTTTTTTTAAATTAAAACAAAGTGTATAGTTCTCTAACATAAAAATAAAATAATATAGAGGATGTGTGGTGTGTGATAAAGGTAGTGCCTCGTGAGGAAAAAACTGTAGTTGCTGCTCCAGCCATGATCAGAATCTGTCTCTTGGACTCACCACCATGTTGACTCATTTTGGTGTAAATTGGAATGTGTTTTGACCATGGCCAGTGAAAAATAAAAATAAAAATAAAAAATCAGAACTTATCCTTTTATTATTCATTTATAAAAATGGAGACTTGGTTTCATTTTGATTTTGTACTTAGAAAGGAGTGCACTCGTGAATACATAGCTGCCTAATGTCCACTCTGTCTAGTATTCATCCCCACATTAACACACATCTTCTTATTCCTTTTTTTCTTTTCTCAACATTCTCAAACACTTTTGTTATTTGGCATAACAGAAGCTCTACTTTAATATATATTTTAGTTTTGAAGATTAATCTCACAACTGCTTTCAATTTCAAGGATTAAAATTACTTGTTTAATATTTAATGATTTCATTTTAATTAATATTATTTGTTTTAAATATAAATATTGAAATATATTAGACAAAATTAGCATGATATCACTTCCAACAGGTGTTGTGCTTTGTGCAATGGTTTACATTCTAAAGTTGGGCTTATACTACGTTTTCGGTTGCTATTATCACCCCTAATTTGCCCATTTCACATCTCACTTTTGCCCCATTGTAATAAAGGTTGTTTCTTCCCATACCTTCATAATTTCTTCATATTAAAATAAATATCATTTTATCATTATATCTATCTTCCCTTCAGAAGTTTGTTTTTTATTTTTAAACCCTCATACTGTCTAGTTTTTAAACCCTAAAGTATTCTTATTCTCCCTTCCACTACTGTTATCAATTAAAGATTTATTATTTTTAAAAAAATTAGTTTTTTTTTTTAACTCTTATCATTTTTACCAAAAGAGTATCTCTAAACATTAGGAAAGTCGAATAAGAATCTTAAAATATTTTTAATTGTATTAATTTTTTATTTCGCGCAACAAGAATTTTGACTAAAAATAGGTTATGTGGATTGGGAATATAATTTCAAATTAAATAATCTAAGTCTCAATATGTAATTTTAGTGTAAAAACATGTAATAGATATATAATATTAATGATTACTCATCTTTAAGTATTGGAAATAATCTTGAATGGAGATGATAAAAAAAACCAAATCTGTATATTTATAAAGTTGCATCACTTTTGTAAGAAAATAAAAGAAAAGATTAGAATTTTAAACAAAAATTATTAAAAAAATATTTTAATTATTTTACTTGGATATAGAATTACGTGAGAAAATATGAAATATGGAGTTATAGCATCAAAGTGCCCAAAAGTTTTGGTGAAAGTAGCATAGGCCCATTGTTTTAAAGATGAGCCCATTATTCAGATCAGGCCTCGTTCTCCGAAGGGGATCACTGGTCCAAATTAGGCTCAAATAAAAAAGCATTGCTACTCCTCATGGTGTGGAACTGGAATTAAAGAGCGTAGCACAAAGCACAGAACAACCTGAAATGGCGAAGCGCGAAACCTCCGACTACGAATCCGAGGATGCTTCGGCTTCAGGGTCAGAGTCTGAGAAGGCACAAATGGTGGACAATGGGAAGAAGGGCGTGACGGAGTACGAGAAACAAAGGCTGTCGAGAATCGCGGAGAACAGAGCCAGGTTGGAGGCTCTGGGCTTGCCCCAAATGGCTCTCTCCTTGAAAAGTTTTTCTCTTCACACCGCTAAGAAAGGAAAAGAGAAGAAGGTTAAAGAAGACGATGATGAAGAATATGTACCCGAAGACGAGGGAGAAGCCGGTTCAAGTTCTTCAAGTGAACATGATGAGGACCATAAAGATGAAGACTTCACTACTGAAAATTCTTCTGGGTCACGAAAAAGGAAGGTTGGTCGAGATTTATTTTTTATAAATTCTCCGGTTATGGTGCCCTTTTCCAGATATTATTTTGTGAAGGTATTTTACAATTTGGTTGTGAAAGTGAATGTGTTTTATGAATTTTTCAATTTTTCTAAAAAGTTTAAACATTGAGGCAATTTGGCATGAATTTGGCAGTTGGGACTATGAGAATGAATTGTTTGATAATTACAAGAGGAGTGCTATTGTACATCGCTCTAACACAATCTCTACTATCGGTTAATAGTTATTTGAAACCGCCAAATAATTAGAAGAACTCATTAAATTAGAAATGGGACCAAGAGGATTTAGTGATTTCTAATCAATTTTGGTCAATAACAAAAAATGTGTTCCAAAGAGTGTATGAGCTTGCTTTTCTATAATTAATGTTAGAAGAAAATCTTAGAGTGTTGTGATTGTAATGAAATAGGGTTATTGGGATATTTTTTTCCGTGTTTATCCCTTTGTAGAATTGAGTTTTTTGTTGGTAAAATTGTTTTCTATTTTGATGTAGTCATTGTGGGGTTTGATATTGATATCAGTGGGACAAATGTTTTCCCAAGATACTCACACACAATAAAAGAAACAGAGGAAGAGAATTTAAACTTTCTCTTAATATTTCATTCACTTTCAAAACTTATGCATAGCCGTGCATTGGATTGGCCTTTTATAAGCTACAATTTACAATATAATAATAGTAAATACTTTCTAAAGTAGTGTAGCTTTTTTTGTGTGGTTAGGAAATATTTACTATTATTATATTATAAATTATAGCCTATAAAAGACAACTTCAGTGCACGACTATGCACAAGTTTTAAAAGTGAATGAAATATTAAGAAAAAGTTTAAATTCTTTTCGTCTGTTTCTTTTATTGTGTGTGAGTGTCTTGAGAAAATATTTGTCCAACTGATATCAAATTGGTATCAGAGCATATGCTATACTCCCAAAAACTTTGAGATGTCGGATTGATGGGCTCCTTCCGCTCCAGGCTTCTGTTGGTGTTTTCTTACAAACACTCTTTGTTGAACATTTGTTCAAGATATACACAACAGTAGCAACAACTTCTGCCCATAATTCTCTAGGCATTTGTTTTACCTTTAACATGCACCTTACCATATCCATAATGGTCCTGTCCTTTCTTTCGGCAACTCCATTCTGTTGGGGAGTGTATCTGGTTGTTAGTTGATGATGAATTCCATGTTGCTCAAAATAATCTGCAAAGACAAGGTATTCTTGACCTCTGTCTGTTCTCAATGCTTTAATCTTGCAGCCACTTTGTTTCTCCACAAATACCTTAAATGACTTAAAGGCATCACATGCATTTGATTTCTGCTTCAAAAAATACACCCACGTTTTTCTGAATGAACAATCTCCAGTGGCTTTCTCGCTCTCCATGACTTTCCTGTAGGAAATAATTCTCTGAGCTTCTTTCCCAATTGACAAATCTCACACACACTATTAGGAATATTTAACATATTCTTTCTTTTGACAGATAATTTAATCCAGAAAAATGAAAGTGTCCAAAGCGCATATGCCACAACCAATCATCATTTGGTATGATAGAACTAAAACAAGGATATTATTCATGTTGAATTTTCAAAGGGAATAAGTGATTCAGAGTCATTTTTACCTTGACTATAAATCTCCCACTCTTGTCAATCAACGTGCAGTTCCCATGATGAATCTATATATTATATCCTTTTTCTGATAGTTGTCCCATGCTTAATAAATTATGATGAAGACCAGGGGCATAAAAAACATCAGAAATGAAATTCTGGGAACCATTTTTCAATCTAATTATGATTTGGCCTTTTCCCAAAATTGGAATATTGCTGTTGTTGACCGTTGAAGTAACTGTTTCATCTAGCAAAGAAAATAATTCCTTTTTTCCACACATATGATTACTACACCCAGTATCTAAATACCAGATATTTTCATCTTTTGAGAAGTTTTTGCTTGCCAAAAATAAACTTTGTGGGTTATTAGAATTCTCACCAATGGTACTGATTTTCTACAATGTTTGCTTGCTGTCGGAATTTGCAATCTGCTATTTTGTGGCCATATTTTCTATAGTGGAAGCAATTAAAATTACTTCTTTCTTGATAGTCACCTCTTCCTCTTCCTTGATTGGCAGGTACAAAATTATCTCCATCTCTTCCCTGATTGTTTGGTCTGAATTTGTTGTTTCTTCACTGATTAAAATTACCATGACCTCTACCTCTGAAATTTTCACAACCCCTACTTCTAAAATTTCCTCTTCCTCTATTATTGAAATTATCACGACCTCTATTTTTTGCATCTTGAATGGACTTTGCAAGTCTATTGAAATTCACTTGACTTTTTAATGCTTCTTCAACTCCTTTTTCTGTTTTCTCCAATATTCTGCTCACATGACTTTCAATGCTTCCTTGCAATTCTGCAATTGTCATGGTGTCTGTGTCGTGAGGCTCTATTATTGTAGTCATCACATGATCAAACTTCATCGGCATAGTGTGTAGAATTTTTTCAATCACCTTACTTTCAGAAATATCTTCTCCATATACTCTCATCTTATTGACAAGATTTGTGATACGTGAAAAATATTGTTGAACAGTTTCTGAATTGGACATATCATACATTTCATATTCTCTTCGCAAGGACTTATTGACAAGATTTGTGATACGTGAAAAATATTGTTGAACAGTTTCTGAATTGGACATATCATACATTTCATATTCTCTTCGCAAGGACTGCAGTTTGGATTTTTGAGCTTTCTCTACTCCTTTGTATGATAACTTCAATGTATTCCACGCATCTTTGGCAGTCTTGCAGTTTGCAATTTTGTCAAAAATTGAATAATCTATTCCTTGTTGAATTTGTGACAGCGCCGATTGCCCCTTCCTTTGATTTTCTACATTAGCTCCTTCTTGTAAGCCTGGTTCAATAACGCTCCAAATATTGTGAGCTTTCAAATGGGTGGACATCAACAATTCCCAGTAATTGTAATCCATTTTTTCACCTAATTTGGGACCAGACCAAATAATATTGTAATTTGTGGCCATCTCTCTTTCTCAAATAGACTAAAAATTTTTGTTAAGATGAGAACACTTTTGTTCCTCACACACTCAATATATTTTTTTACTGACTCTCTCACAAACTCACAAAACTAATGCGGGATCTAACCAACTTTGATACCAATTTGATATCATTGGGACAAATATTTTCTCAAGATACTCACACACAATAAAAGAAATAGAGGAAAAGAATTTAAACTTTTTCTTAATATTTCATTCACTTTTAAAACTTGAGCATAGCCGTGCATTGGAGTTGCCTTTTATAGGCTATAATTTACAATATAATAATAGTAAATGTTTTCTAACCACAAAGAAAGCTACACCACGTGATTTGTTTACAATTTTCCAATTTTGAGTTTTTCCATAAACGGTGCCTACTATTTTCATTTTTGCCTCCTAACAAGCTAATGAGAGTTGAAAGCTTTCCAATGAGGTATTGTATGGTCCAATAACAAGATGCGGTGCATATACTTGATTTATTTTTGACAGATATGAACACTAAATTTCTGGCATTATGGGTTTTTGTAGTTATTGACTTACTGTGCATAGGCGCTTGTCTTCTGATTGAAAATTATTTTGACATTTACAATCCCAATCCTTTTGCTTAATACCAACTTCAGGTGAAGAACAAAGGTTCAAAAGTGAAAGCTGGAGTCTCTGGGAAGCTGGATGTTAGTAATTCAGAGTACATTGATTACGATGATGATGAGGCTTTGAGGCAGGTAGTTTTGATGTTTATTTACATTGTGTTGGTTTTGTTTGATTTACAGCATTTTGCAATGATGCTGAGTAGCATAATGCTACGAATAGAAGCATATTAACTGTATGAGGTTTGTGAATAGGCAATTGCTCTTTCCTTGCAAAGCTCTGCAGAAGGTTCAAATTTACCTGACAAGAATGTAATGAACATTAACAAGTCTGAGAAAAAGGGAAACAATCAAATTCAAGAAGATAAGGGAAGAAAGAAGAACAAAAAATCGGTTAGTATTTTCGCTTTTCTAATGGCCTTTTTCCTTCTCTACAATTCTTTTGTTTGTATTGGATCTTTGAGTTTTTGTATTTAACTGTTTCAACATCAACAGTTTGCAAGTCGGCTGCAACTCACGGAGGATGAGCTCATTGTACACTTCTTCCAGCTTGATGGTAATTTGATAATATGTGTAAGCTGCTACTTTTTGTTTGTTAATGACTATAAATAATGGCCCGAGATCAGTTTGAAAAGTTATAGTTATATCTTATATTATATCTATTATTCATCAAAGAGGAACTGTGTGTTTTCCCTTAAGGTTTCAGTCTATTATGTCATACCCATACAAAAACTGCACTTGTTGAGGTGATTGGAGTTATATATAAGATCCGTTTAATTTTAAGTTCGAAAAATGATCTATTGTCACTTTCAATTTCTTGAGCATTTAGAAAAAAAAAAAACTAAAACTTTTACCAAGTACGCATATTGATCTGAGAAGTCACGTTCTCACTCATACAATGCTGTTGTTTGTTGTTGTTCTATAAGCTATCAGTATGACTCCCTTCGATTGCACTATTGATTTGACTATGTGGGACTAGTATTTCAATGTATTACTTCTTGCATATGTGGTGTTTGAAGTATCAAAGATTTATAATCAGTATGAAGCTGTTTTATCTAGTTTAAGTTCTGGTTTAATGTGAAGGTGATCAAAGAAGCTTTTTCCCTCTCTTTTTCTTTGCTGCTTTTAATTCATGCACAGGCTTATTGACAAGGTAAGTTGTGGCATGCAGAAGCTGGAAACGGAACTATAAATGTAAGGGATTTACAGAGGGCTGCTACAGCTCATGATTTTTTATGGACAGACAAAGAGTTGGTTGATATGATCCGCTGCTTCGATAGTGATGGAGATGGAAAGGTAAGGATCAAAGGTCTTTCACTGATTTTGTTGTTTTGGCTGGAGGTCAGTAACATTGAATAACCACAAGGCTTTGTAACTTTTAGTTTGAATTTAGATTGGTAATTGTAAAACTTTTTGGAGACTATAGGATAGATGTGGACTCTATTATATGTATCCTTTAGATTCTTCCACTAGTCCAAATATGCTATGTTGATTGCAAGCACTCTGCAGTTAACCTTTTTCACTTGGTGGTAGATCGTTTTTCTTACATCTTATAAGTATGAAAATTGGTGACTTTATCCCCTTCATATAAAAATTGTGGAATATATTACTAAAAACAAATTTGCTCTGTTGCAGTTAAGCCTGGATGATTTCCGGAAGATTGTTGTTCGGTGCAACATGATTAAAGGGTCTTGAAAATGTTGATAGGATCAAAGGTTAGAAGTAGAGATATTACAGGGTGAGTAGATATACAACCATTATGAGTCTTTGTGCTCTTTTTGGTACCCCTTAGAAGTAGAGAGATATAAGTACTGTTAAATGTATGTGTATAGTATTCCTTCTGTATCCCATTATTACTTCCGTTGTACCATGTTTTACCCCTTTTGTATCCTTTGCAACTTTCTTAAGCCTAGTCTTCATTTTAGAGTAAAATCTACTTCAGCGGCCTCTAATGTGATTCCTTTTCAATATTCAAAGTGTTTTTTTAGTTAAAAGTTGAGATTGTGAGAGATTCACGAGATAATAAATCTTGGGATTGTAATATACAGATTTCGGGTCCTATTTTTAGATAATTGAGATAAGTACTCAAACTAATTTAAAAAAAAAAAAATTTAGTTACTGTGTCGCACTTTCAAATATTTAATCAAATTTAATCTTATCATTACCATAAGAAAGAAAGCATGTCAACCAAGTAATAATAACTTATGAGTGACAAACAAAACAATTTAAATACTTAATTTGTAAGTTTTAGTAGTCTAAACAAAGTACCAAATTATCAAATGCCAACTACCAAGTCCAGGTCAAATAACACCTAAATGACTATAGCCTATGTAACAAACATCTAATATAAAACTTCCAAATTATATATCTAAACTTAATAAATTTTCATTAGTATAATTTTTTTCATGAAGCACATTAATATGAACATTTCCTTCTTCTAGAGTTGAAGTTACAAGGACGTCATCAGTTTGCTATTTAAATTTCTGAGGTTATCTTTTTCTACCTATGTTCTTTACAATCAATTTTGCATTAATCGTTATGGACTACACTACAAAACATGTTAGGTTTGGTAGATAGACTCTTCAACCTACTTATAAAATAGTAATTTTAGTACGTCACGTCTTGTCTAGTTCACCAATTCAGTGAATGGAACGAACGGACGTGTTGACTCATTTTTTAAAATATTTATATATTAAAATTATAATTAAAAAATTATATATTTTTTGTTATGGTATTAAAATATATAAATATATTAAAATATTATAATTTAAATTTAAATTATAAAAATTAAATTAAGTTTAAATTATTGATTATAATTAATTATTTAACAATAAATATAATAATTTTTTCAATTTATCTAATGTAAATATTAATTAATAAATAAAAATTTAAAAATTATTCATATAATTAAAGATATATTTTAAAAAATGACATATAAAAAAATGTATATAAAAAAAATATATTAATAAGTTGGGCCGGTAACTCATCATTTAATAGGGTGGACTAGGGTCTACAATTTGACTCTACCTTGTTTTTTTTAGACTATAGGTAGAATAGACCCAAACAAGATGAATTGACCATTTTATCATTCATATGAACTATAACATAAACATCATTCATAATTTTTTTTTCTTTCAAACAATTTATTTTCTTGAAGGTGACATATACAAATTCGACCATATATGTGTATAATTGTTTATTTAATATTTTTAATTTTAATTATACAACTTTTAAATTTTTACCATTTCAAATACACTCGAGTTACATTTACAATAAAAGGAATTAATTATTAAATTCATGAATGACAATTATTTAAAGTTTTAATATTATTCTTCCACCAAATTCTAGATATTGCCTTTTAAGTTAAGGAATTACCAAATAATTTTTCTTAATTATCAAAACTTCAAATTACAAATCAATCAAATATTGATGCTTAAGATAACTACCATCTTCTATCTACATTATAGTAAACCAATTTTAATTTATGTATCAACTTTATATTATAATTTTTTTTGTTTCTTTTATTTATCTCAACTCATTGCTTTGTTGTTTAAACTAATGAATGATATCTACCATTCTAAACACTTGTATTATATTAAATGCTCCTCCAAGATTCTTTATGTAAAACTACATTTTCAGTTGAACTTCTAGAGTATTTTTTATCACTTGTTTAGCTCGATCATTCTATGAAATGGGACTAACATTTTTGACAAAAGTTACAATATCACTAGAGGAAGGGTTAGAAGCCCCAACACCTCAGGCCATTATAACAATTTGTGTAAGAAAAAAAGGACTAAAAAGGGGAGACATAATAAGTAACACAGAACTATTTGCAAAAGAATAAAATAAAATCACGGTGCTTGTACACTTTGATTCATAAAAGCAATATAAGTGAAGAAGAAAAGAGGCAACAAATTAATACCTAAGTGGGAAATCCAAGAAGACGATCAGAGAAAGAGATAACATTTTATTGGAGGCTGGCTAAATATGAAAATATATCAGCACAATATTCATGCTGATATGTTGCTGATATATTGTCCATCGAGAATGTGATTTGATTAACAAAATCATATCTAATTAAGGGATTCATTTAGCATGTTTATAGGAACCATATTTGTTAATTGATCTATAAATAGGATTTTGTTTCGTAAATATAGTTGCTATAATATGTATATATGATTGGTCCATTCCTCATAGTTTTCTCGTGTAATTGAACTTGAGTAATGATGTTTCCTAGATTGTCATTTGAATTGAGATCATAAGGAGAACCAAGATGATGCATCGACTTGGTACAGAACGAGGGAGAAGAGCAAGTTTGAAAGCCAATGTTGCACAAGCAAATGCAATCGGTGGTGCAGCTGAACCTATGACAAACACAGACAAATCTGGTCTTGCTAGATTAACAACTGATTAATGACAAAAGTTGGTAGACATGTTGAATAAAGGAGCAAATTATGAGAAGATGACAGGTATTTGTAAATCTACACCATGGATTATTGATACAGGAACTTCGAATCATATGACTGGAAGCATGGAAGAAATGCATAATGTGCATGATATTCTGCCATGTCCAGTTGGATTGCCCAATGGAGAACACACAAATGCAACAAAGGAAGGAAATGTGTACTTAGGGGGACAGTTGAAACTTGCCAATGTTCTTTTTATCCTAAATTTGAACTACAATCTCCTATTTGTGTTGTAAATTTTAGATAAGTCAAATTGTGTTATACAATTCATTAATAAATTGTGTGTATTGCAGGACCGCATTTCGAGGATGGTGATTGGAGTGGGTAAACGTAAAGATGGGCTTTATTACCTTTGTGGAGCTTAGATGCTACAAGTTAACAAGGCAGACAATGTGGATCAAATGAATTTGTGGCACAAGCGCTTAGGACATCTATCCTTTAAAGTTACAGAACTCATTTCTAGATTTGGTAAAAATAAGTGTGACAATAGCGATGTATGTTTTAGAGCTAAACAATGCAGAGAAAAATTTCCCATTAGTGAACAAAGAGCTAGTGGTATTTTTGAAATGATACATTGTGATTTTTGGGCTCCTTATAGAATTCCATCTTCATGTGGTGCTTATTATTTTATAACTATCGTGAATGATTTTTCTTGCAGTGTATGGATCTACCTAATTGTCGATAAAAAGGAAGTATTGAAGTCCCTTATAAACTTCTTTGCTTTAGTCCAGAGACAATTTAATAAAAATGTAAAAGTATTTCAAAGTGACAATGGTATCGAGTTTCTTGGCTTGAAAAATTACTTCTTGGATCAAGGAATAATATTTCAAACCTCTTGTGTCCACACACCACAACAAAATGGGAGAGTGGAGTGAAAACATATACATATTTTAAACGTTGCACGTGCGCTAAGATTTCAAGGCAATCTCCCAATTGCTTTTTGGGGAGAATGTATAATCACAACTGGTTACTTAATTAATAGAGTTCCTTCAAAAGTGTTGAATGGAAAAACCCCATTTGAAGTACTTTATGGAAAGCCTCCTCCTCTCCAGCATTTGCGAATATTTGGGTGCTTATGCTATGCACACAATAAAGGAAGAAAAGGTGACAAATTTGCTGCCAAAAGTAAGAGATGTATTTTTATTGGCTATCCTTATGGGAAAAAAGGGTGGAAAGTGTTCAATTTGGAAACAAGAGAAAGCTATGTCTCTCGAGATATACACTTCATCGAAAATGCGTTTCCTTTCAATCAACCACATATAGAGGACAAAGATAGCGCTCGAAATCTGCCATTTATAACCAATATTTCTCATGAAGATGAAGATGATTTCTATCAGGGCAGGACCTTCAAAGTGAGGGGGGACATGATACCATCGGCATAACTTGTAAGGTCAATGATGATGTGCCTTTGCTACATTCTTCTAGCAACACAGTGCCAATGATCGAGGATAATGTACCCTCATTAACTGAACCTATTGACATAGACCCTATTACTCATGATATTGGCGATAATTTGAATGTTGATGTGCCTCGAGGTAGTGACATGCAAACAAACACTCAAGGGACTTACTGATTGCAGAAAGTGACCAACTAGGTCGAGGGCAGAGACTTAGGCAGCCTTCCTCCCGGCTGAGGGACTACGTGACCAACACTATCCATCAAATAAACTCATTTGCATGTTTGCCTACGCCATCTTCATCCTCAGGTAATCCTTACTATATTACACAATATGTGGATTGTACTAACTTCTTCATGGCACATCGTAGTTTTCTTGCTGCTCTTGAACAGGAAACTGAACCTTTGACATACAAAGAAGCTATAAAAGATGTTAGGTGGCAGAAAGCAATGAAGGATGAAATTTCTGCACTAGAGAACAACCAAACTTGGGAGTTAGTGGTGCTACCTCCTGACAAAAAGGCTCTTGGATCGAAATGGATTTACAAGATAAAAAGAAAGTCGGATGGGATGGTGGAAAGGTTCAAGGCACGGTTGGTGTAACATCCTAAATTTTGCAACCAATTATATAAATAAATTTTATAAGTTATACATATGTACTGAATATTATGTAGAGTTATTATAAAAATAAAACATGATTTTTGTTTATAGTAATTTTATCTTAAGAAAATTATAAAATAAAATCCAAGGTTAATATTGTGTCAAATAATAATTTATTAATAATTTTTAATAATAAAATTAAATAAATGAATAAATAAATATTTAGGAATGTAA